TGGAGATGAGAATTGCACTGTTTTACTTTAATCAACAATTTGTTATATTTATTAAAGAGTAAAGATAATTTGAATGTCAATGTATCTTGGAGTTACAACTCAATAGAAACGAAAATCAATCGACTATACGACTAGCGAATGAACTTAAACCGACGAAAAGACTGCAGACGTTGGAAAAAAAAATTTCTGATAATACTCTAAATAATAGATAATTAAAAAAAGCATTCGACAACTTTTTCTTATCAATGATATATATACAAACGTGTTGAGCAGAATATATATACTTTACGAAAAGTTTAATTGAGGCTTTTAAGGAAAAATGCATTATAGGGCTTCTTTACTTATATGATAAGTATTATTTTACCTCTATTTACGGTCTAATTGCAAGTTTCTGTTCTAGCATATCGTTATTTCTGTCCGTAATTACCTCGCTACAAATTGCACCGTATCGCGACTGGCGACTGGTATTTTATCAATTGTACTACGCGATATTTTTACCTGTCTGTAACGGTTTGGAGTCGTTGTAACAAAGAGTGGAATGTGTGCTAAAAAGATTGCAACACTTGTTTAATGTATCTTTAATTGCCATTGTCTAATCTAATTCACTACATTCAATACTTTACAGTAATGCATATGCATGTATAAAGAATATTTTATAAACACAATAATTTATGAAGGTAATCGGCATGCACATAGAAGCAAATAATATATTGTATAAATAATACGCACACGTAGATTATAATTTTTCTAGAATATTTATAATTAAAAAATTAATCACACGTATTTTGAATCACACAAAACACTGTATGTTTGTATTGTATTATTCAATAATGAGCATCTTTTTTATCATACCTTTATTAAGTTATATTTTTAAATCTAAATTTAATCATTGACATTCTGTAACGCAAATCTCTTTTAATGTCTTTATAATCAGGGATTACTCGTATACATCGTTACAGTTACTTTTTTATAACGATTTAGTAAAGACGTTACAAGTTTTATGTCGATAACGATAACGTCAAGGTTGAAACAGTCACTGTTGAAAGTAACTTGTTACCATTAAACGCTCATTGAAAAAAATAACTCGTTATTTTACTCGTTTACTCGTCATGAAAAATTGTAACATTATTTCCAAATTATTATTATAAAAAGATAATGGCGTTATAAGTAACGCCATTACTTGCTATCCTTGATAATTACCTATATTGGCTACTCTCGAGAATATAATCATCCCTGACGGGAAACAGTCTCAAGTTCTATCTGTAGATAAATATATACGCGCGACTTCTCTGCCACATTTGTAACCTCGATGCAGTCGTCGTCATGCAGACTTCATAGTGCAGGCAGATGACTAAGAGGGGCAGAGAACGAAGCGAAGAAAATGAAAAGGTAAGAGCGACGAGGCAGGGCGAAGGAAGTTGCAGTGCGCTTGCATTGTTCGCACAGCTGTTTACCCAGTTTTCCAGCAGCAGCAGTGGCGCATTGCGATGCTAATTTCGTTTGCATTGTGCGACGATATACGCGCATGCATTCATCGCGCGCCCTGACGAGGATCGAGAATCGTGGAGGGGAAGAAGAAGAAGAGGAAGAATGTCTCGATCGTGATCTATGCGGCGATTCACGTCACCGGGCGAGCTAGTCTTGCATGTGTGATGAGAACATGATCTAGCGAATCATTCAATTGAGTCGAATCAAACCGGAATTCAATATTCTAATTGTTGCTTTTCAGCAACTTCTTTATTAAAAATAATATATATATATATTTAAAGTGCGTTTTTATATAGCAACGAACCGTCGAGCTTGTTAGACTTGGCGTACGATTGATATGAACTGCAATCTACTTCAGACCATTCCATTTTCAATTTTATATTGTACGTTGTTGCGTCACAAATTGCCGAGGATTATCTATCCGGTATATAACGAGGCGAAGGTGACGATAACAATAGCTAATGAAAGCCCTTGCACAGTTGATGACTCGGTTGGTCAATCGTGATTAACCGTACTCATTCGAAAACTTGCCATGAGCTAATCGCAAAACGTTATCTCCGCAAGGTGTGCAACACGTTAATCGTTCAGACGATACGTCGAGTAAATATACTGCGTATCATGCGAAAATGTCGTTGCGAAACATGACTATAAATAAGTGCCTTGAATAAATGGAAACTTCAAATTCATATTGGCAAAAAAAAAAAAAAAAAATCGAAAATCAAAAAAAGTCTGGATTCCACAAATAAAACCCTATCTCTAAAATTAAAATTGAGATATGAAATTTTGTTGAAAGCTAATTTGAAAATGACGTGATTTAAAATCTAATCTGGATTTTAATTATCGGTGATTTGATACTAGCAAGAAAAAAAAATTGTGAGCGCCGAATATTGCGACGTGAGAGCTAATCGGGTGAGCTGTCCAGTATTTCAGAAATAATTAGTCCACTTTTCGAAGCCATTTATGTTTTTCCGTCGCGTAAAATTGTGTCTATAGATAATGGTGCAGTAATTACGGGTTTTTTTTTTGCTACCTCATCACCGAGGTAGACTAATTAAAATATTCTGGTACATGCGCATTTCATTCCCGATCATTACGTTTAATTTCTTACTGATCCTTTGTTTGGTGACATCATTTGCATGCTTTTTGATAATTTAGAGATTCGATTTACGAAAATTATTACATCATTGTTACTATATCATTTCAAGTTTGACATTACGTTACATTTATGTCATATATTTTACTTTAACGCCAACCTGCTTGTATAGCCACAATTATTTATATAACCGGTCGGCTGTATTAAAAATTATCAATATTTCGCTCGCAATTATCAAAGTATCGTGAGTACGGTAAACGATGTCTAAATTTAATAATTTGTTTGTTATGTAAAATGAACATACATGTAAAAGAGGACAATGTGCCATCAATTGACAAATGGTGGATACACAATCTTGACCTAGATGCAGCAGTTTCGAGTTGCACTTGTCACAGCGACTTCAGCATCGCGATTATACTTACGTTTAATTCCAAGGTCATCACGAAGTCAGTCCCCGGCCTCTCTTATCGTTCGTCTAGGATACGGCGGGTTTATGCAAGCGAGACGGCACTTTGCCTCTCTCCTAGGAGAGAGCAGCCAATAGAGAACGATTCCAACGGCGGCGCCGACGCACTCGGCTCTCTCCTACTCTCGTGAGATAGTCTGCCGAATCAAATCTAACGACGGATATCTCGTGCGCGCGCACAGCCGCTCCGGAGAGTGCCTATTGGCGTCTGCACCCAAGCGCCGAGTTAAGATGGACGTTACACGATGGTACCCTAGATCATGGACCACGCGTCTGTGATGTTATTAGACAGCATCATCAAAATCTCCAGTTTCCATTTTTGAGGTGACTTTGACCAAACGTCAGTCAACTTTGATGATTTACTTATCGAGTGCTACCTGTACTATTTTGTCAAACTGTTTAACATCGATAAAATTATCAAGTTTTTGTTGTTTAATATGTGAGAAAAAATCAGGGATGACAAATTGTACGGATTATAGAAATTTTACTTCAAACAATTTTTCTAATTAATCGCCGATTAAGATAAAAAAAAATGGAGTTTGAACCAAATCACCTTCATTGGATGATTCATCTTTAGACGTTGATGATATGGAAGTTAGTATTAACAGCGTTTATCTTAATTAATAATTCACAATGAATTTAAAAAGAAATTTTACAGCGCAGTATTATAATAAAATATCGTGTTTAATTTTAAAAAATTATTGCTACAGAAAATCGCTATAGAAGTCCGAAAGACAACAATATAAAAGTCGCAGTATTATTAAGATTCGATAGATTAAGCAGATCACAACAAGATTAACATCTTGTTGAACAGCCAGATCTATTTTCAGTCAACAAGTGAATTTAATTTGACTGAATGAATTTTAATCTGGCTTTGTTTGATAAGCCTATTGAATTTATTCATTCATTTACATTTATTACGTAATAATGGAAATTATAAAAGTTATAAACATCTCAACAACTGTTGTTTAATAATAACCATTTTGAATAATTTAACAATCTGCATCTCTATCTCTGTATTTCAAGGGATATTAATCACGATTGAGATTAGATCATTGCGATCGGGATAAATGGGTGTTAAAGTATTATTGTATAAATTAATCTCTTATGTAGCAAAGACAGCGCGCCGTACCCAAGAATCTGTCACGTGCTATCGCCATAAGCCAGACAGACGCGCGATCAAGAAATTTCAATTGCAAAACAAGCAAGTGCAACTTGAATTTAAGAACACTCAACGCCGCTCGATCGTTTTTTTCATGCGCGGAGAGTCGCGGAACCGTTAATTAACTAACGATCCACGGCGCGTGCCGTACGAAATGACGGTCGTACAGCTTGAACGGGAACGTCGCGTCCACCACGTCCATGCGGACGCATTAATTCCAGTCTCGCTCTTCGCGGGACAATTAATCCGCTATTGAGAATTTCGTTTTGGAACACTGATACGGTCGAACACCTGCACCTCGCGATCCCTTCCTGCTACGGCTACGACGAGGAGGAAACCGCCCACCGTTGGTGCGACGACGCTTAGAACGCATCTCCCGCACTCTGTCGACGAAGGCGATGGTGGGGGTTAGATACCGTGGAGAATACACGTTTCTACCGTGCTACCAGCGATTTCTGCGGGGGTAGACGAAGGGATGAAGGGGAAAGGGAAGGAGGACGCACGCGTTGTGTCTTCTCTCCGTTTCCCACCACGTCGAACGCCGGCGTACTCGGCGGCCACAACCGAACGACGGTAGGCGGAGTCTCCAGGTAGCACACGAGACCGACGCGCAGGTGAGAGAAGAGCGAAACCTGAGCGAGGAGAGACAGACCAGGTAAGGGGAAGCTACGAGCCGGCCGACACACGTTCGTCCTCACACGCGAGAGACCGTGCGTGTCCTCCTCGGCCACACTGCGGGGTCAGTCGGGGTCCTGCTCTTAGTCAGGA